AAGGAGGAGTTTGGGGTTTTTGCAGCTTCTTGTAGACCCCCAGCTTCCTCTTGAGCTGATTCAGCCCCACCGACGTCTTCCCTGGGGCGTAGTCGTTGTGGGCTGGTGTCGGGAGAGGACGTTGACTCCGTGGAAAGGTCGGCTTCTTTCCACACTCCTTAATTTTGTCCCCAATTTCTCCGATACCGGTACGATCTCCACAAGTTTCTGCTTCTTCTGGAGTCCCTCTCGAAATTTCTCCAAGGCTCTAGCCCCTCGAGAATCATAAGTTTCAGTAAATCATCCTTATAGGATAACTTTAACGAATCCTTATGATTTCTTGGGTCTTCAAAGAGTTTCCCCGTCTCGGTAGAGTCTTTTTTCGCGGAGTTATATTTTTTCTCGAAGATTTTCTCTGGCGAAGACTGGTCGTGGGGTCTAGATTTTCCCCCATCATTTCCTCCTGCTCACGTCGAATCAGCTTCATCCAAGTTGATTTTTCCGGAAACGCACGACCGTTTTCCTATCTTTTCTTTTCCGCCAGCTAGATCCACAATCACTGGCAATTATCGTTTTTTGTCTTCTGATTGGCCGAAGAATTTCCGCCACTGTTGCGTGCCCGGTACTCTGCACGTGCGGCTTTCATTTTGTTGCAGTCGAAGATTCGATGGCCCGGCACCCCGCAAAAATCACACGTGAAGTTGGTGTTTTTCGGACGTGGCCGCCCTTCGAACCTGTCGATTTCCATCAGATCGCCGAACGTAGGGTGTGGTGAGCAGTCGCCCTGTCGCATACTGCCAACGTGCGCACGCCGTGTCCCGGCGTTGACCATGTCAAACCACTCCGCTGCCGATACGACGTCACTGTAGCTCGCATAATTTGTAGATGCTACCTATCGTTTGACTTCGGTCTTCAGCCCGGCGAGATACGACTGTACGCTTTTTCCTTCGATCAGGTCGGGAAAGTGGTTATAAAATTCTTCCATCTGCTGCGAGTACAGGGCTACACTCCCGAACTGTCGATGGCGATGATTTTTTTCCTGGGCAAGGAAACCGGAATTTATCGGCTCGAAACGTTTCAGCAGGTCGGTGCGGAACCGCTGCCACGTGGCTTCGTCGTTGATGAAGGTACTGTTACCGCCGATCCACTCGAGTGCCGGTCCTCGCATCAGTGTCGCCGCGAGTCGTACGCATTGACCGTCCCAGACTTGCGAGCTCCATTCGATGGCTGCAAAGTAGATCTCCATGTCGGCGATCCATCCGCGGACGTCGGAATTTCGATCGCTCGGATCGAACGGCTCAGGTGGGCGCGGTTTCGGAGCCCCGAGAAACTGATGTGACTGCTGCGTCGTCGCCGTTGTCGTTTCGTGTTGCGCACCGGCGAGTCGAGTTACTCGCTCGAACTCGTTTCGCCAAGCTTCGTGGTCGGCTCGCATCTCCTCTTATAGGGCGGCGATGCTCGCAAAGAGCTGTTGGGTAACCTCGGCATAGTCGAAGTTCGCCATCCTGTTCAAAACACGTGCGGAGGGGGTAATTCAAAAAACGTGGAGCTTGTGCTTACGAGAATCGACGCTGAATTAGTCGCCCCCGACGGTTTTTCGAGGGCAGGTTTTCCCGCTGCTGCTGCTTAGCTGAGCGTGGCCGAGTGAGAAAATCTCTTATTACAAAGTGTCACAGGATCGAATGTGTCGAGGAAAAGTTGCACTATCGATTGATACAATGCGCTTTTATACTTCCAAGGTACATCAGGTAACCAGGTTTATCCTATCCAAAGGGAATAAACCCTTATAGAAATATAATCACCCTGCGTATAGCCACGCGACATTATTGGCTTTAAGAGATTACGGCAGGTTTACGCTAGATATAGCGCGCCATTACATCCCGAGCCTGGTCGGTGATATACTGATAATAGTAGGATAAACCAAAGGATAATGGAAAAGGAGGAATAGGAATCCAAATGAGATGAGATAAAGACTAAATGAATTAGTAGAAAAAGGAGAATGAGATAGAGGAGAAAGATGGAAATACGACAGGAGTGTAACGGGGTCGTACTCGCACACCTACCCTCTAAATAAATGGGGTAATCCGTCACTGCACCTTCCTTATTTAGCCGATTTTGGTCGATTACGTGGATTAGTACCAGTACTCGATGAGGGTCATCGGTTACGAGCGAGCACGTTCCAGCAGTAGTAGGCACGTTAACTACTTATACGAAGTGTTTCCCTCATCGCTGGAACTCCCCTGCCCTTGATTCCGCTTCTTCCGCTCCCCTAAGCATTCCGAATTGCGGTGTCCCTGTCTGTTACACCCAAAACAGCGACCCTTAAAGGCTGTAATTGCTGAGTTCGATGTTGTAACAACGTGTACAATGGCACGCTCTATTGGTCCCCGAGTTTGGTTTCCGTCATAGGAACCCGCCCTTAGTCTGTAGAATGAATCCAACCGCTCCGCAACCCTCTGCACCTCCATCAAATATGTAATGTCTCGGACTTGTATTTCTCTACGCAGATCCGGTCGAAGTCCTCCACCGAATTTATCGAACTTCTCGTCAGGGTGAATGTAGCCGACCTGGTCGCATAGATTCTTGATGCCGCTTGTGTAGTCTTGTACCGATCCGAGTTGGCGCCACGTGGGAAGGCGGTCGCGCGCTTGATTGCGTGCATTAACATGTTCGAAGCGGCGACGAATTCACGATTGCCCCGTGCTGTACTCGTCCACCTCGCAATAACTTTCTGCCGAGTGATTGGATGTGCAAAAATGCCCGATTACGCGCGGCATCGTATACGGCTCCTGCGACTGAATTATCTGCTGCCAATCATACATAGCCGGTCAACGTAGCAGTTACACGGCGTATCGATTTTTCTGCGCATTATCGCTGACGAGGTTGCAGTCGTAAAAAACATTCAGGTGGAAGATCCACCCGATGATGGACAAGTTGCCACGTTGGCTCCGGTCAAACGTGGACGATCTCTGCGTCTTGAGAATTCTGGGCGCCATGCTGATGTTTGCATTGTGCAGGCCGATCGGAGAGATAATTGGGGGCGACAGATTCACGTTCGTCCTTTCGCCAATTTCCGCTCGTCCAATAGCCGGTGGCGGGTTGTTCCTCGAACCCTCGGGCGAAGCCGCTTGTGGTCGCTGATTGTCGTTAGGTATTTCAGAACGCTGTTGGGTCACTTGCTCCTGTTGTACTTGGTTTGTCGTTGGTGCAATCGCGCAGTGTCGTGTCTAGGGCTGTCTGCTCTGAAGTGCAGATATTTCAGATTCAGCTTGGATCGTTCTCGCAGACGCGCCAGCTTCTGCTGGTACAACTCATGAGTAAGACAGACTCCATCGAGTAGTGCCGCCCTTTCCTCAGGAGTCATGCTGGTAGGTGCCGACGGATCCACCGTTTCGTGGAAAGTTTTGGGCGGCTTTCGGCACGCTGGCACTACAAAGACAGTCGTGGCTATAGGTAATTATCAATTAATATTACCAGGACAGCGGATAATGCAGTAAGCGTAGGGCGTCAACCTCTCTAAGTGTCGGTATTGCAGTGGAACTAGAGTGCAAGGCTGAGGATCGTTGGCTCTGATTGCCAGGTGTAATGAAGCGCAACGAGTGTGTGTCGAATGATTGATTAACGAGGAAACAATACAACTGAGGCATCATCAAAACAGCAGGGAGCATGGATACAGCTAGCCTAGGAGCACACGGTCGTGGCTCGGCAGAGCTGCGAGGTGTGGTTCGTAAAATGGCGCGGAGCGCCCGGAGCTAGGCATGCAACTGCAAGGCGAGCAACAATATATGCGGCTCGTTAGGAGACCACATTTGGGACCGCGATTTGAATTTCGTGGCAGAGCTGCGTGGGAACCCCGTTATAGCAGTGTACGCCTTACTGGCTAAAACCCGTCATAGGAAATACCATTTCCTTACACTTGTTAAAAATAGATGGATTCATCTGGCACGAAGACATCAAATAACAGAATGGCGACTGTGAACATTATTACATACTTGAAAAATCATAAATAAATACCAAAAGAAAGAAGATAATTGATTCATAAGATTGGCAATTTGGCACATGCACACCAAATTGAAAGCAAGAAGATATGTAGTAGAAACTTAAAGCCCAGGTCCTAAATTAGTCAGCTCGGGACCAAAAAGGGCCCAGTTTGATATTTTTTTGGCCCAAAAAAAATGCCCCCAACCCTGGCTTCGCCACAGTGACCCGAAGTTGCTGTTGCTGAATCTACGGTTGAAATCGAACTTTGAAAAATGGGACTTAATGTGTCATTGATTCTCAGCCGTCGATCGGCCTTTCCCAACCAGGCTCTCGAGATTCAGTGAAGCTGGGTTCCATTATTCATCTACGGCTGTAAATGTGTTTTATTTTTCGGACTTCATGTGTTCCTGCGTCCCAGCCGTCAGATTCAAACTGGGCCCAATTTGAAGTCTCAAAACAACTGGGCTCAGTTTTCTTACGAGCCCACCCACCCACCCACCTCGCGTTGACTTTGTGGAACTAATTTGTAATTTGGGCTTTAACTATGCGCTTGCTTTTACCGTTGCAGTCCCTGTCTGAAAATCGAACAAAAAGCATAACGATCTTCTCGCGGTCTAGTGACAAAAAATCTCTCGCGATGCGCCTGTATCATCCGAGCCGTTCATCTCCACTGCAATTCTCCTCCAATTTCCAATTTCGCAAACCCCCCCCCCCTCCAAATTCGCAGACGCGCACGAATGTCGCCTCCGCTTCACCTTTCCCTGCTCCTGTACTCTGAAACAACGAATGAGAAGAACCCAGCCAGAATGTCGGCCAAAACTTCGAGCATGCAGACACTCTGCACTCCAGCAAGCACAGCCACGCTCCATGGCCTCCGTGGCCCCATATCCTCTACACAACAGGCCCCTGGCTTCGCCTGCCACCGCTCACCAAACGTCGCGCAGCTTCTGCGACGTTTACTACTATCCGCATCCTGTCGAGCGCGCTACTTGAGGCCCCAGTTTTGCCCATGACGCGTCTTCCACACCCAAACCCACAGCCTCCACGGAACCGACATAGTCATTCCCCGGCAAGGCTTTGCAGCGCTGCTGCTGCTACGCCGTCGGCAGCAGCTACAGCGACAGCGCCACCGGCGGTGGGGGTTCAGTTCAATCCGCAGCGCGTCATGGCAAATGAGCTATGCCTTGGTCGCCTAGTTGCCCTGGCAAATCACGGACTTTTCAGGGGCATCATATAGCGCGGCAGAAGCAGTCTAATAGCAATTGGCTAAGTCATTTACAGAGTCTGCATCAGCCACCAGATTTCATTTAGTAGCCCGTGACATACTCAAACCGCTAGAAAAGCACTGGATTATAATCGCCGGTTTATAATCACCGGATTATAATCACAGGTCACATCCGGCACGTGATTTCTGGATCGTAACGCGTTTCAGACGCGCTCAAGCTCGACTTTCGAAACTATCGAATCCGCATTACTAGCGATTGTTAACTGACCGGACTACTGGTACACGGGACTGGATCCGTGGTACCGAGTCACGCTGTTGAGACTCGGTACACGAGTCCCTTCAGAGGAGGCCCTGCGCTGTCGAAGCGCTAACCGTACGCGCCATGAGAAGCTCGCTTTCGAGGCGCCTCGAGAACCGCCGTGCACCTCTGACGGCTCTGTTTCTCGTCGCCGTTTGTGGATGTAAGTTACATGATGTGAGTCGCTCCTGCTTCGCGCGAGTTGTCGCGTGTGCGAATGCGACGAGGCTTCGCTTCGCATAGGTTACTCATTTCGCAAAAGGAACCGTAGTACCGAGTTACGATACGTTGGATGACCGCTAGTGGGACACCGCTAGTGGGACACCGCTAGTGCTGCCTACCGTAGCGTAACTGTTGTACAGGTAATACTACTCGCGTTTATTAAGAAACTTTCCAGTCTGAAGCTGCAACTCTGAAGCTGCAACTCTGCCTCAAATCGCTGTCACCACTTAACATCTCCATCCCCCCCTCTATCCTCTTTCCCTCTACCTCCACTCCCCTTTCCCCGTTTCCTCTGCGTCTCTTTCCGCCGTTCCGCGCTCCCGCCGCCGATCTTTGCGCCGCCCCTGTTATCCCTCTCCGCGCGCAGGCGTGGTCCCCGCACAGGTGAGACTTGACTTCCCAGGAAGTTTATTTGGGGGAGGAAGGGGCTGCCAGTCCTAAATGCGCGAATGGGTCCCTCCGCGGGTTTGGACTGTGTGGCGAATGGGTCGCTTAGGACATTTGTTCTAGTCGCATTGCTGCATCGGCGGGCCGCTCCTCCGCTCTCCAGGAAATTGCTTGCACTGGTCGGCTGGTGCCCTTCTCTGCATCCTTCCGTCCATGCCACCTCCTCCAACTGCAAGAGCCTCTCGTCGCACAACTGTCCACCGCTCGCCCCTTCAAACCGGCACACCGGACTCCTGAGCTACACTTCAAACTCAAGGCGGACTTATATTATATATATACTGAGATGCATTCTCAACCACCCTCACGCGCAGCTCATATCTTACCTCGTTTCTTCCCGTCTGCCCCGAATCGCGCGTTTTCTTTCAGTCTCTACCGGTTATGGTGGGAGGGGGGATATCCCTCAACCTAGCAGTCAGCCCGTGGGGCACAGGAGTAAGCGACTGGACGGCGCCTGCCGTGAGGCCAGGAGACCTGCTGGGTAAGAAATGCACGCACTACTTTGCCACGTTGAAATAGGGCGCTGCTCGGTAGACTTGGCTCTGCTGGGAGGGAAGCTGCTGCTGAACCAGGCAGTCAGCCCTTGGGGCGCGGGGCTGGGTGACTGGACGCATCCGACCGTGAGGCCAGGAGACCTTTTAGACAAGACATGCGGACACTGCCTTGACTTTTGAGTCGACTCAAAAGTCAAGAAATGCGGACACTGCCTTGACTTTTGAGTCGACTAAAAAGTCAAGAAATGCGGACACTGCCTTGACTTTTGAGTCTACTAAAAAGTCAAGAAGTGCGGACACTGCCTTGACTTTTGAGTTGACTCAAAAGTCAAGAAATGCGGACACTGTCTTGACTTTTGAGTCGACTCAAAAGCCCAGAAACGCGGACACTGCCTTGTCCAATTGAAGTAGGGCACTCTTCGGTAAACTTGGCTGATCTTCGCACATAGAAACGAGGTGACTTTTGAGTCGACTCTAAAGTCACCTCGTAGACTTGGCTGATCTTCGGACATAGTTCCAGTGAGCGCAGTTAGGAAGACGGTCACCCCCCTCCTGTACCAATGCTGGCCCGCCTTTCACATCCATACTCTCCCTCTCTCCTGCGGTGTGAAGATGGTTTGGGGAGACCTATGATGTGCACAAGTTTGGAGACCCATTGACTTATGGGATGTGCATTCGTCCCATCTATCCACCCCGCTCCTATACTAATGCTTGCCCGCCTTTCACATCTGTCCTCTCCCTCTCTCCAGTGTTCAGATGGTTTGGGGAGACCCATGATGTGCAGAAGTTTGGAGACCCAGTGACCTATGGGCTGTGCAGTTTCTTCAACACGAAACAAGTTTCACCTGCCCGCCCGGTTGGCGTGAGGACGTACACTGTGAAAGCTAAGGACAAGGGCAGGATCCTTTACTTTGCAAGCAGCGTAGGAAGCGACTGTGCAAATGGAATTAAGGTTGCTATTCGTGTAAGGTAACTGTAAAATTATATATTTTGTTATATAATTGGTAGGCTTGGTAGGTGTTACTGAAACCTATTGTAGAGGGTACAACCCCCCTCCTTGTATCCCTCTCTCTTCTATTCTCAACCTCTTTTTCTCTCCTCAACTTTCCTAGCCTAAAACCTCTCACCATTTCTATGGCTTTCTACCGTTCCTACTAGCCTAGCTTTTGTGACATGGTAACAGAGCAGGTCACCCTTCCCGGGCCTGCTCCCTACGCTCCCGCCGCGCACTCCTCTTCCTCTCACGCTGCCATGGCGGCCGCGTCGCGCTGCTGTGGCGGAGTAGTCGTGCCGCTGACCGCGTCGTGCCACGGCTGTCACGACGCGCTGCCGTGTTGTCGCGCTGTCGTGGCGTCGACATCCAGCCGTGGCGACGTGACGGCGCCGTCATGCTGCCGTCGCAGCACCGACGTCATGCCGTGGCATCGACGCCGCACTGTGGCGGCGTCGTAACGCTGCAGTGGCGGCGCCGTCGGGCGGCAGCCGGCCGCGCAACGCCTGTGGTGTTAAATTATATATTGTGTTATATAATTTATAGGCTTGGTAGGTTATCGAACTCTACTGTAGAGGGTACAATCCCCTCCTTGTATCCCTCTCTCTTTCCAGTTCACTCTCTTTTTTCCCTCGTCAAACTTTACTCTCCTAGCTCCTAGCTCCTAAACCCTCACGCCATTTCATGGCCGCCCTTCCTTCCTGGCTAGTCTTGTAACATGTGGCACCGCTAGACCTGCCGCCCGCGCGCCTGCAACGGGCGTGATTCTGGACCACGCTCCGCCCCCCCTCCCACCCCCTCCCCTCACCCCCTCCTTCCCTTGCGTCCCCTCTGTTAAGACTAAAAAGAATGAATAGAAGAAGGGAGAACAGGGGGGATATAGCGTTTGGGTTGTACCCACTAAGAACATACCCTATCTAGCCTAAACTTCTACATAACAATATATGTATAAGTTGACACACCCCCTAGGCTGGATAAGGGGTAGTGCTGAGCAAGAAACACGCAGCTCAGGGTGGCACTACTAGTCCAACCTTTGAGGCAGGGGCCCGAAGACCAGTCAACAGAGTACAAGCAAGACAGAGCAAACCAGGGCAGCACTACTAGTCCAACCACTAGAGGAAAAGCCACAAGGCCAGTCTGGAAGGCATAAATAGAAATGAGTACATAATCAAGGGCCTAGCAAGTGAGAGTCAACAGGGACTAGACCTAACTGCAAGCTGTATTGCTGATGATCTCTAGGCGGAAGCGCCTTAGTAAAGATATCAGCTGTGTTGGCACCTGAGGCCAAGTGTACAACGCAAGCCTGGCGACGCTGCTGAAGCTCACGAAGGAGGAAGTACCATAGCTGGATGTGCTTCGCTCTGCCCTCCAGGCGAGGCTCCTGACAGAGGAGGATCATGGCACAGCTGTCAGCGTACAGAACCGGGGAAGAGCTAGGCCGCTCACCTAAGTCTGTGAGCAAGAAGGTCAGCCAGCGGAGCTCCTGTGCCGCCATGGCACCGGCGTAGATCTCAGCCTCGCAGCTAGACTGAGCAACAGACGAGGAGCGAGTGGACCTCCACGAGATGGCACCAAAACCAAGGCTGAAGCACTAGCCCTGGGAGGACCGGAGGGTCTCAGCATCGTCTGCCCAAGAACCGTCTGTGTGCCCAGTAAGGACCACTGGCTTGCGTCCTGCCAGCACTAGCTCCATGCCCGATGTACTTGAAAGATAACGCAAAACCCTCTTAGCGGCATACCAGTGATGTGGTCGGTGTCTGCCGGTGGCCACAAAGTGGGCCAGGATGCTGAGAGGGTATGCGAGATCTGGGCGAGTGCAATTCATCAGGTACATGAGGCAACCCACCAGCTCTGCATAAGGACCACTGGGCTCTGCTGAATCCTCGGGAAGTGGAGCTGAGAGCTTGTGGTCTACCGGCGGAGGTGTGGGCTGTGCGGAGGAGAACTGAAGACAGAACCTCTGAAGGACCTGGCGCACCAAGTGTGACTGTGTAAGAGTGATGGTGCGCGCTGTTCTGTGCCTGGAGATCTGCAGGCCAAGGTAGCGGCGCAGCTCTCCCAGGTCAGTGCAGGTGTGTCGCCTTAGCAGCTCAGCCTTCACAGAGGCCAGCGCGTCTCTGTCTAGTGTAGCAAAGACCAGGTCATCTATGTAGACCAGGATGTAGAACGGGGTCTAGCCAACACGAACGATGAGCGAAGGGTCAGCGGAGGACGGAAAGAACTGCAGGTCTGCTAGCGTGGCACGCAGCGTGTCGTGCCACTCACGGGACGCCTGTTGCAAGCCGTAGACGGGGCGCCGGAGGAGCCACTGGGTCCCAGGAGGGAAAGTACCGGTGAAGCCCTGAGGGCGGCGCAGGTAGACGTGCTCGTGTAGGCTGCCCTGAAGGAAAGCAGTGGAGAAGTTGAGGGAGTGAAGCTCGTAGTCACGCTGTGCTGCTACGTGTAGCAGCACCCGAAGAGTAGTCATCTTCGGGGTCGGGGCGAAGGTCTGAAAGAAGTCCACTCCCTCTCGCTGACTGAAGCCTCTAGCCACATAGCGCGCCTTGAACACAGACAGCTCTCCAGGGGGACGCTTCACCTTGAAGAGCCACCGGCCATCGACTTTTTCACCCCAGGTGGGGGAACTGCGTCGACGTAGGTGACAGTAGCCCTCCAAGATGCCATCTTCTACTCCATGGCAGCTATCCATCGAGAGGCCCAAGGTCCCGAGGTCGCCTCAGCGTAGGTGCGAGGGGTCGGGATGTCAAGGGTGTCTAGGTCACCCTCAGGGACTAGCAGCATGGAACAGAGATGGGGAGCAGCCCCTGACAGGAAAACAAGCTCGTACTGCCGGTCCTCCAAGACGTCACTGCCGAGAGCACCCCCGACGGAGGGAGGACAGACAGGGTCAGAGACCTGAGCGGTAGTGAAGTCAAAGCGGCGAGTAGAGGCAAAGTCAGCGACAGCAGGTACAAGAGCGTCAAGACTGGAGACAGGAACAGAGGGGTCGGTAACGAGGGAGGAAAGGACCCGAGGAACAAGAGGACGAGCACCACGAAGGTAGTCAGACAGAGGGGGAGGCGCGACAGTGAGCAACGAGGGAGGAGGCGAAGGCAAACGGGGAGGACGAGACACGTGGGAACGAAGCAACATAGGGTGAGAATGCTCAACAGGAGAGACAGGACGAGCACGAGAGGGACGGCGAGACCAGACGTGAGACGGAGGCGTCGAGTAAGGAGACAGAGGAGGAGTAACAGGAGGGGAACGAGAGGGTAAACGAGCCGGGGACGAATCCGGCGGAGGAAACACAGGGACGTGAACAGGAAGAGGGGGAGACGGCAAGGGAGGCGCAGGCAAAGGGCGGACACCGGCGGCGACTGCTGCTGCTGCTGCTCAACGCCGACACCTGGACCACCAGCTGCACCACTGCTATCTCCGGTACACTCCACGCCAGCACCCCCTGAACGAGAAACGTCTACAGCGCCGGTACCACCCCCGAGCCCACCGGGACAAGCCATGACAGGAGCCCCAGAACTAGCACCCTCTCCAACTCCAGCACCCCCAGAGTCCACGAACGGCTGCGGCTGCGATGACGGCTGCGGCTGCGGCGGCGGTGACGACGGCGGCTGCGGCGGCAACTACGACGAGGGAGGAGGAGACACCAAGGGAGGGACACGTGGCGCAAATGGCGCCGCGGGGCCACCGGATTCAGCCGACTCCTCGACTGGGGCAACCGACGAGAGGGGAGTGACGTGAGACACACCAGACAGAGCAGGACAGGGAGGGAGGGGAGCAGGGGAGATCGGGGGAGTGGGAACCAGAAACAGGGGGGGGAACCAGGAGACCTTGGTGAGGAAAGCGGTGGAAAAAGGAGACAGAATCGTCGAAAGTGACGTCACGAGAGTGAAGGAAGCGGTGAGACAACGGGTGGTAGAAGTGCCAGTCAGACGAGTCAAGGGGGAAACTGAGGAAGACACAGGGGACAGTGCGGGCAGTGAGCTTGTCCATGCCGGAGGCACGAACGTGAGCGAGGCAGCCCCAGACGTGGAACGCAGACGTGGCACTAGTCCAAAGATGGGTCGGCAAAACGTGCGGCCGCTGAGAGCGAGGCCAGAGGTTAAGCTGGTGAGCAGCGTAGTGAACGGCGAACGGCCACAGGAAATGGGGTGCACCGGCATGGATCATGGAGGTACGAGCCACCTCCATGACCAAACCGATGCGTCGCTCAGCGACCCCATTCTGCTGCGGGGAGTCCGGTAGGGTGTACGTCTGGGTGATACCCTCCGCACGAGAGAACTGACTCAGCCGACCAGTGGCGAACTCGCCGCCATGGTCGGAGTGGAGACACAGCACAGGGAGACCGCAGTGGAGGCGCGCATCAACGAGCCACGGGATAAGAACGTCGGGCACGTCGGCCTTCCGCTCTAGGGAAAACACCGTGGTGTAGCGCGTGTAGTCGTCAGCAAGCACCAGAAAGTAGCGCTCGCGACGCGGTCCAGGGACAGGGGCTGCGCCCCAGACGTCCAAGTGCAGGGTCTGAAGGGGTGCAGTGGTAGGGCAAAGTGAGGAGTGTGGAGCACGGCGCAGCCGGCCCTCGTCGCAGGGAGTGCACGGCGGCGCAGGCGAAGGAGGGAGAGCAGGGAGCGACGCAGGGAGGCCGAGGACTAGACCGTGCTGAGACATGTGACGCAGGTGGGGGAGCGCGGGGTGACCTAGGCGGGGGTGCCACAACAGTGGCGGGTGAGTGAGCGACCGACACGAGCAGGCCGTAGCTACCTGGGTGGACGCAGGACCGGAGGAGGACTTGCCTGCCGGGGGGGGGAGCAGTGTCCAGCGTAAACAGGTCAGACACAGGGTCCCGGGGGAGCGTCGCAAGGGGGGCACCTGAGGCGGCCTCGGAACAGACTGCGTACCGCTTGTGACCAAAGAACGTAGTGGTGACGCCGAGGTCCTGAAGACAGCCGACACCAACTAAGTTCCTGGAGAACGAAGGGATGTGCAGGCCTGTAAGGGAACCCCAGGGAACAGTCGGACAGGGAAGGGTAGTGTAGCTGCGAGCAACTACAGGACCAGAGGAAGGGTCCGCAAGGGCGATAGCAGCAGGCACAGCAAGCGG